AAGGGCTGCCATTCAATACACAAGGGGGGAAGTCAGGAGGTGGTGGTGGGATTCGAACACATTCCCGGGGTGACAATTTGTGACTTTACCACTGGGCCACCAACGCCCATCGCTTATCCAGAGCGTGCTTAAAAGCAGCCACGTTTCCTAAATCTACTAACTCCTTTGGCAACGGGTTCCGGATGCTCACTACTCTAGAGTAGTAGCCACAGCTACTACTGAAAAAACTTGATGTAATAACCGGGTTACACCGCTGTTTATGCAGTTTGTATCCATTTTTTTCTAGTTCCTTTTTGCGTAGCCCCCCAAAACATGCTTTCTTTTCTGACTCCTGAGAGACCTTTCACAACCTTAAGGGTCTCCAATAGGTCTCCCCTTAGTCGTCTCCTTTCTGTAGGAAAGAGCCCCAAGTCTTTTAGCCTGTCTTGGTATGACTTACCCTTTTTACCTTCAATCATTCGGGTGACTAATCTTTGCAGTTTCTCTCAATAGGCTGCATACCTTTTGAAGAAGGGTGTCAAAACCTGTACGCAATACTCCAAATGCGACCTATGGCTTTGTAAAAGGGGAGCAGTACGTCGGGCTTCCTATACGACAATACTGGTTTGAGCCTGAACGAAGCTGTCCTCGCCCTTGACGCAGTCAGTGAACACAGGTTCTCCCAGCTGAAATCTGCCGACATAGATATTCTTAAGTCTTTGTTAGTTCTTACAATCCCTGCGGCGAAGTCTCTTCTTAGCTGAGTTGATAGGTGTTCGTCAGCACGGGATTGTAAATTACTTTTCTTTGCATTTAGTGTCAGTTGAATTGAGTTGAGTTCAGGTTGTACGAACATTCTGTGGCCCGGGCCAGTCATGCGTCTACACAGTTGTTTTGTCCGCTAGTCTTATGGTTTCTAACACTAAAGCCCTCTCAAAGGCTATGACGTTTTTGGCAAACTACAACCTCCTCAAGTAGACTGTTCCAATATGGAATAACATGACTTGTAAAGGACTTGGCACATATATCCAACCCTACACGATTACGCAACAGCCTTAAACTATGCCGTCTAGTGCCACTTGGAGATATGAAATGGAATATATCAGCATACTTTGGCCCGCAGAAGCCGTTTATAATCGTAAAAACTTCTCTGAGGTACCCCTGATACTCCCCACCAGCGAGAACAGATTATAATCCTTGAGCCTCTGTCCATAATTCTGGCCTCCATCCCACCATCATTCTTGTAGCCAGACTTTGCACTCTTTCCAGACATTCACTGTCATTCTGAAAGCAGAGTGCCCATGCCCTAATAAAATGTTCCAAGTGTGGCCTAACTATGGCTTTTTATAGAGGGGTGAGAACCTGGGGTATCATACGCGTAATCGTGGATTGTAACCGAAGGGGTCCCCCACGAGCTATGTTGACTACCCTCTGACATTGCTGTGAGGACTTGAAGTCATACGATACAATGACTCCTAGGTCTTTTATTTCTTTTTCTCTCTTGAGATAAATTCTATTCTGATGAACAAGTTTAACTCCTGCGGTGAGAAGGTGGTATTCGTATAGATCCAGAGAAAGATCCCACTTTTCGGACCACTCTTAAGAGCGTGCAGATCTTGATATGCATTCGTTCCCGCCTGCTTGGTGT